GAGGAAAGAGAGAGAGAGGGCGGAGGCACACCCCGAGCCACGTAGTCTTTCCACACAGCCCCACGAATTCCTCTCTCTCTCTCTCTCTCCTCCTTTATTCCTCATTCTTTCTTTTACCAAAAAAAACTCAGAGGGCCCAGGGCCCCATACGGCCTCCAGCTCCTTCTCCTCCTCCTCGTCATCTTCCTTCTCCTCCTCCTCCTTCTCCTCCCCCTCCTCCTGCGCCTCCTCCTCCTCCTTTTCCTCCTCTTGCTCCTTTTCCCCCTCTTCCTCCTCCTCCTCGTCCTCTTCTTCCTCCTTTTCCTCCTGTTCATCCTCGCGCCGGGCAGCTGTGGTCACGGCGGAGGAGTTGCTGGCCGCTCGAAGACCGCCGGCGGCGGCGGCGAGGTTGACGGCGGCGGCGGTTGCGGGCGCTGGCTGTCGTCGGTCGCTGGAGTGACGGCGAAGTCGCTGAACGTGATCGTCTCGCTGCACTTCGAAGGGTCGCTCTTCTGTTGGGCCGTGCCCGGGCGGGCGGAAAAAAGGTAGGACGAGGCCAAGACTAGAACAAAATCGAACCTAAATAAATCGGGGATCTCTGAGATCTGGCTGTTCTGGAAAATGTATCGGGCACTACAATTGTTTCTGAGCGTTTTGGAACGCCCTGAGAGCGTTCCTGAACGCTCTGGGGCAATCTAGCCACGTCCTAGCCCCATCCGAGAAATTGGGGGATGTCAAAGAGCGGTGGCTGAGGAATCAATTGCCGAGTGGTTTTCCCGTCGCCTGCTGGCGCCAGGGTCGGCCGTGCATCGAGGAACGCGCCTGGCGGCGGGGACGAAATCCGCCGCATCCAGCAGATATCGTACCCGCCCTTTCCCTATCCCTCTCCGACTCCAGGTCCGCCCTTCTTTGGGCGACTTCGCAAGTGGGGCGGACACATCCGCCTACTTTTCAAGCTCCTCTGATGCCGATTGCCGCCCTAGTTTGCCGCCGCTCTCTCCGCCATGCTTTTGCTGACATATCACTCCTTATCGAGGCAGGAATATCAGCCCTGCTTGTTCGCATCGTTTGGGGTGCACTTCCGATGCAGTTCCAACGACGAGCGATAAACACACACAGACACACACAGACACACAGACAGACATACACACGCGCACGCACATACACACACGCACACGCGCACACACACACACACGCACATATACACAGGCGCACACACACACACACACACGCTCACACACACAAACACACAGCCAAACACAGTGATGAACACATAACTCAATCAGCTGATTCCCAAACCCAAGACAGGCATCGGAGACGCCGTACGGCATTTCAGTAACGGATCCATTTTTATCACAGGGCGACCAGGGCGCGGCAACTGAGCGTCGCCTGCGCGACGAGTTCCCGAAGCCAAAAGCCTCCTCTGAGAGATGTGGCTGCAGAAACATAGCAATACAAACAAAGAGAGATAGAAAGAGAGAGAGAGAGAGAGAGAGAGAGAGAGAAAGAGAGAGAGAGAGAGAGAGAAGAGAGAGAGAGAGAGAGAGAATAATAAGCATACTAATAAGACAAATAATAAAAAGACTGGCGGTTGGTGTTGGTGCTGGCGCATGCGCTGGCGATGGCAGCGGCGTTAGCCTGCGGCGCAGGCATCGATGCCACGATATGGATTAGACAACACAGCTATTCTGCGCATGGTTTGAACGCCTCCAAGGCCTGACATGGCAAAAGGTTAGGCCAACCACAGGGTAGCCGCGGGCGAACCGCCGCAAAATAGCGAATATAAGGCGAACCGAGCCAGTTGCATAATGCTAGCGCTATCACAACTGATTATGCAAGGCCACGCAGTGCGGCCTGCAATGCAACCGCGTTCAGACCGCGCCCCAAGTCTAACCATCTACGTTTTCTATGCCGTACACACGTGCGGCAATATCTAATGAGTTTCGGGATGGGAAGAAGGGGCCAAGTAGGCGGGGACGACCTATGGCGGTCGAAAGACATCCCTGCGCGATCTCATTGAGATAGCAACTGACTTGGGCGATCCATGCCCAGAGATCAAGCAAGGGCAAGCCTGTCGGAAACGCACTCCGTATGCAGAGAAGCGCACGGAGGCAATATGCATATTGGGCGAAGGAGGAGAGGGGCGAGGGAACAAAGACAGGCGTGCACGTACAAAGGAGAAAACAATGCCACGCCATGAAGAAGCTGTAGAAACGGCTCGTCCTGCGTGCATGGATAAGTCGGAGGTACCAGCAGCTTCGCGGGGCCAAGGGGACTCGGAATCACTTCGCGCGGCCGCGGGCGCTTGCTGTGGTGGCTGCCCGGGCCGCTCCCCGCCTCAATCCAGACGCCGATTGAGTAGGGCGCCAATGCGTGGGAGATCTTTGTTCTCGAGCTGGGGGTCCGTCGCCCCCGGGGACGTGCGCTTGCGCTTCCACTGATCGACGCTCTTCTTCTGGCCAATCTCACCTCGTCAGACGGCGAGCGGCGTGCCGTCTGCGGGCGGCTGGCCAGCGAGGGTCCGCGCGTCCTCGCGATCCCTGGAGATGCCGATGAAGCTGAGAGCCAACTCGTGCTTGGTCGCGATCGTGCTGGCGAGGAAGACGGGCGCGCGTAGTGCGCGCGCGCCGCCGCGAAGCCCCTGCGGGGGGGCGGGCTTTGTTACCTTCGCCTTTGCCTCTCGTAGTCCAGTCCCATGGGCCTGCTTCGCCCCCGCCGAGGGGGGTCTCCATCGCGCCCCGCAGAGCGCGAACATCATCAGAAGTCGAGGATGTGGCGGACTGGGTCGACTGCAACTGATCAGCGTGTCCTCGAATATCCTGCTTTGTAATGGCAAGCTTAGTGCGCAAACGCTTGATGTCGGGATTTCCCTCTAGGCTGTCAGCAGAACCTTGCTCGAGTCCAGCGGCTTCTGCAAGACGTTTTACCGCGTGCTGTAGTTTGCCGCCTGAGCCTTCACTCCACCCATCGCACTGGTGAGCGCGGCAGCCATTTCGCGAGCGAGCTGACTCGTCGCGGCCACCCCCTGCAAGGACTTGTTGGGAAACGGTTGGGACTCGCGAGGTTCGGGTTGCCGGCAGACGCAGCGGCCTGGCAGGCCTGGCCGATGATGCTGCCAATGCGACCGATCTCACCAAAAGACCAAAAGCCCAAACGCCGTCGACCATGCCGCCACATTGGCCCAACATCGAACAAAAACTGCCCCTCCACCTCCATTGCTAAACTTGTTGTTGCCACCGGAACCCTTGCCCAGCCTCCGTTGTTCGCATGCTGATGCTGGCCGCCACCCGGGGTCCCTTTTGGCGGCCCCGTGGGCGACGTTTCTGAAGGGGAGGTGAACGGTGGTGCGCTGAGACGATGGTTAATCAGCTCAAATACCTCGTCTAGCGGAGAAGAAGTGGCCGTGGCCGACAGGTCTAGACAGTGAAGGGCAGTGTCCATGTGCTCTCCAGGGGGATGCATGCTCTGCCACACGCGCCGAACACATGTGCCAGGCTAATTGCCCCATGCGATCGTAGAACGCCGTATCAATCGCATTCGCGGAGATCACTCGATGGTAACAGGGTTAAGGTAGTCTCAGCTATGATGGCGCCCTTTGAGTTCAGATCGTAGTTGTCCTGGCTCACGACAGGATGCGTTGCCAGAAAATGGCGTGGCGCGCCGTTTGCGTCGTGAGAAATCGTCACTTAGAACGTACTTTTAATTTTTATGTCGAGGTATTTGCTGGGCCCCGCTGCAGACAGCGTGCGTGTTTCATTTTTGCATTAGCTCGGAGAGACATGGGGATCACCACAGCAACGCGCATGGACTTAGACTCCAGGCTTCGCAAGCCTGGCCAGCATGAAACACGGTGGACGCAAGCGAATCCATGCGCTCTTTGCGTCGTGCACAGATTCTGTGACGTCCCGGGAAGGTAGTGAGGAAGTGCGAGGAGTCCAACGGCTGCGTCAAGATCACCAACGGCATAATCGAGCCCGCGAACAGCCCAAACCGGATCTATCACATTGGTAAGATGAGTAAGGCCCCTGTGCATCCGCCTATAAAGTCGTCGTCCTGGAAGCTGGAACAAACGCATGCGTATTCCTCGTGCGTGAATTCGCTGGTTTGTCACTCTTCTGGGCATCGTGGTCCTTGAAGCACTTGCGCTTTGCCGCGGGATGGCAGAAAAGTAAACTCTGGGGCGCTATAGGTCACTGGGATGGGGCTTGCGGGCCCCGGGAACGCTGAAATCGCGCCCCGGGCGATGCCGCTGCGCGCCGTGTGAGGGGGGGCGAACATGCAGGCGCCATCGACTCTGAGAATTGGCTAGCAGACCAAGCCAACGACGCTGGATGCGTAACATGCTGGGTTCCCAGAAAGTCCTCGGAGTCCGAGGGTCTTTGTCCTCCACAATGTATGTGATAATCTCTTTCGATGCCTCCAAGCTCCTGCAGAGACGATGCGGAGCTTGCTTCGGCTAGGTCGCCCGATGCTGGCGGGCCCCATCGCCGCCGGTGAGCGGGGTCATAGCTGGGAGAGCGCGGGGGAAGCTGGGGTCCACGGCAAACTGGCGAAACCATGACGTACACTTGGATAGACTGCTGGATGAGATATCCCGGCATGCAGCTGGGGCCCACGGAAGACGACCACATACGGGTGCCCGAAAAAAATGTTCACTTTCAACTGATATCCTGAGACCGTGAAAATCCAGAGTGTCCAGGGATTCGATACCAGTCTTTGCTAGGTCCAAGGTGATGGACGTAGGCTATTTTGTCTAGTCTGCTTAGCCCCAGGAGAAATACGAACCTGTCGTCGCGCTGAAGGCGCCCAGGCAGGCTGGGCGAGGGAGGTGTGATGGAGGGCGAGGTTCGCCCATTTCCGCACTGACAAATGTCATCAACTCTATCCAGCACGAAAACGACGCCGCCTGAACGAGGAACAACTACCATGTCAGAGCGCACCGCATACTGCCGCGCAACCTCTGAAGGCTTCCATGCACAGATACGTACAAACATGATCGCATTGATGGGGTTGTACAAGTGGAGAGGTCCATGCACATGATATCTAGCAAAATGTCGCCGAATAAACAGATCGTACACGCTATGCAAGTGTCCGCGCAAGATACTGCTCCATTCGCGCGCGCGCTCAAGTTTTCGAGTCTGTCGGAGGTGTAGATTACGAAACGCGCCGTGAACCATGAATCCCCATCTTCTCTAAGAGCCCGAAGAAGGTCCAAGTGTCGAACCCGACAATTTTGGCGGGCCATGGGACATTCGTTGCTATTCTTTCCCGTTCGGGCCAGGCAGTGGGGTCGGGCCAGGCAGGGGGGAATGCTGGTGGAGCCGTCGTACGCTTTAGCTACATTGTTGGCCCCTAGAGAAGCAATAATGTATGTGTATGTGTATGTGTATGTGTATGTGTATGTGTATGTGTATGTGTATGTATGTATAGTTATATTATCATACGCGCCTCTCCGAGGGAGTAGAGCTCAGAGGCGATTCGTGCGTACGCGGGGCGCCGCGTTCGCGATTTTTCTGGCCGTTTCGCTAGGGACATCCTCGAAATTCTGAAAATCGGTGGCACCCCTCACGCAGATCGTGACGTCAGGGTCCAACAATACATGGGAATTTCAACATTCTAACATAAAACTTTCAAACCAAAAACAAATTGTAACTTCAATGATTCTGACCCCGATTCTGAGAGAATGGCGATTTCGCCTGAGACATCCTCCCAAAATCGAGCCCCGACGTACCTTCTGGTACCCCAGACCCCGCCTCGGAGCCTCTTGGGAGATTCCTGGAACCTTCTGGGGCTTTCTGTACCTTCTGGTACCCCAGACCCCGCCTCGGAGCCTCCTGGGGGTCTCCTGGAACCTCCTGGGGCCTCCTGCGGCCTCTTGGAGCCTCTTGGGGCCTCCTGGAGCCTCCTGCGGTCTTCTGGGGCCTCCTGAAGCCGCCTGGGGCCTCCTGGGGCCTCAGAACTACATGCACACACAAAGACACAAATCACACCCAACACATCACACGCTAGACAAGCATAACACACACAACACCTACAACGCACAGAAAATACGCACAACACAGAGCACACATCACACACAACACTCACAATCCTGGGGCCTCCTGGAGCCTTTTCCGGTATCCAAGTCGGGCCTCCTGAGGTTTCCTGGGGGGCCCTGGTACACACATCGCAAGGCGTGGCAACCCCACTTGCGCTCGAGTGCGACCTCGATCTTAGATTATTCTACGTTCACCTCCTGCCTCTTCCCCTTCTCTTAGGCACGCCCTGGCAGCGCCGCCCCAGCTCACCCTTCTCCATCTCCGATCCTGCAGTCATGGTGTCTTCCTGCTTCAAGCGCCCTTTCAATTTTTTGTATGAGCCTTGGCACACACGTGCCACTTGTACATGTATACATGCGTGTATCCACATATATGGAGCCTCAATCGCTGTCACCAACTTCGTGGGCATCACTGTCAAGAGCATGATATGCATGGTATGTCCATGGTGTGCGGCTAATGAAGATGCGTAACGTGCGCGATCAACCAATGGCTTACCGAAGCGGCATTTCCGTAATGCTTTGTAGTGCTCTCGGCTTCTAGCTAGAACTCCGCGGTCAGGTCCTTTGATTCTGTATATGCATACGTGTCCGGTACCGAACATGCATGCCACATTGAAACACGAACGACTTAGCACGTAACGGCCGTGACGTAGAATCCAAGATGCAAGGTACCTGTACTGGTAGAAAATCACGAAGAGCTATAACTTCAATGCATTGGGCCCGTCCAGACCGAGAAAGTGCACGCTGCAAGTTAACGTCTAAGGGAAGGCGTACATGCTGGGCAACGCGTCTGGCCCGTCGTCTTTGAGTCCAACGATGTGATGCGTAGGTGCGTTTATGTGAAACCAGGGACGCCACGTACAAGGAAGAGAAAGAAACGCTATACACAATCGTCGTCTGCAAACCATGGTTCCGAATATTGAACGAGATGTTCTAGGAATTTGCTATAGTCTGACGATGTCCCTGCACGTGCCGTCTGCCAGATGGTACTCGTCATCAGACGCTACACGATCTCTGTCGTACCTCAACGTTTGACGTCACTGCCATGACAGCTGAGGAAACAGTGAGGTCTGGAACCCATGATGTGATGTTGAGAGCTGAGAATCTAAGGCTCCAATCTGGGTTCAATGGACAGCTCGGCCATTGTCTTTTATGCGGACCGGAACAAGCCACATTTTCGCAAGGCTGTATCCACAATGCTCGACATTCGTGTCAGAGGTGTGCTGGCAGAGCATGGCTGGATCATTACTTCGATAATTTGGAAAAACAAATTACGAGGCATATGTGAACGTTGCGACAGCGGTACAGCGGTACAGTTTGGCGAGGCGTCGAACCTCCACACCATCGCATACACTTCGTGAGGAGTACACAACTCTATCACTACTTCCCAAAACCCAAGACAAACATCGGAAAAACAACCAAACAGGCATTTCAAGAATTTGCGTTCAGCAACAAATGATGGCGACCAGGGCCTGGCAACTGAGGGTCGCCTGCGTGTGGGAGATGTGGCTGAAGAAACACAGCAATGCAAGCAAAGAGAAACAAAAGGCTGGCGGCTGGTGCTGGTGCTTGCGCACGCGCTGGCGATGGCAGCGGCGCAGGTATCAAAACCATAAGACTGATAAGACAACGAAGCTGCAAGAGGAAACGCGCACAAATACACACATACACACCTTTTCGTTGCAGCGCGGCAGAGGCGGTCCGCACGCGCGCTTCACAAACCGGGGGACGGCATTGCGAATTGCCCGGGTGCGAGAGGGGGAGGAAAAGAAAGAGGAGCGGCCGCGAGAGGCGGGAAGGGACGACTGCGCTCACGCAGCGGGGACCGCGGCGGGGCGCCCCGGGGCGGCCAAGCCGGAGCAGCACCCCAAGCACACGCACAGACACACACACACGCAGACGCACACAGACGCACACACAGCACAGACACACAGTTCAGGGTCCCGTCGTCCGACCCGGTCGCCGTGGTTCGGCCCCTTGGTTGCTGGCGTCTCGCAGGAGGGGGTTGGGCGCGCGAGGGAGCGGCAGCCTTCGCCGAAGGCAGCCCTGGCTCCGGATCCGCTGTACTTTGGTTGACTTTCCGATTTAGAATCGTGTCGGGAATGTGCCCCAACACGATGCGAAAAAAGCAGGGCGGAAATGTCCTCCTCGGAAAAGTGGGGCGAATACATCAACAAGGATACGGCGGAGGCAGCGACGGCAAAGTAGGGCGGAAATCGACACCAAAGGAGCTTGAAAATTACGGCGGACATTTCCACCGTACTTGCGAAATCGCCCACAGTACGGAGGGTTCGAAGCCAGGGAGGGGGGCCCCCAGACATGATCAGTCCGTTCTTAGACGCTTCAGGGAGGCTTCTGAGACGGCCTGAGGGCCTCTTGTGGGCAAGGATGTTGTGTTCTTAAAAGGCCGCCCCGCGTCCTGTGCCCCATCTGGTGCACCTGCAATAAAAAAACGGGGGTAAGTGGGTGGGAAGGGAGCAAGAAACAATCAGTCCGATCATGATCAGGCCAAGATTTTCCACGTGGTGCAACTCTCTCTGGCCTGGAATGTTTGACTGTGCCCTTGCCCCCTGTGTCCGACAATGGTGGGGCCAAGGCGGTCCTGTGGGCAGACGCCGCCGTCGAACCAGGACAGGTCCCCCGAGAGCGGCTTGTACCAGTAGCTCAAAATAGGGGCCATGCGCTCAAACGCTTTCTGCAATCCATTGTACTTTACTTTGAGCACGACTTTGCGGTCGCCCTGGTGCAACGCCGTGGCGACCTGAGTACCATCACTACTGACTTCCATGTTGACCCGGAACGGCATCAAAGTGTTGATGCGGTGGCCATAGCCTGGGCCATAATCAGCAGTGCTGATGTCCCGGCTTGTTCCGCCGAGGCCTCTCCCCATCCCGTTCGGGTCATTCGCACCATGTGCCGTCGTGTGAAAGGCGTGAGTATTGGCCTCCAACATATCCATCTCTGCACACTTAACGCCACACACGCTGTTCGCGTCGCAATAATAGTCGGAGCCGCAGTTCCCGTGCGCGGTGCTCGTTACCAGCGGGGTCATGTACATGGCCGCCACGCACCCGCATGCCGTACCGGACAGGTCCATTGTGAAGCTCAACGTCCTGCCGAGCAGCAACATGCTGGAATACTCGCTGGGATCGTAGACGCTGCCCTCGGTGCATCTGGCGCCGAAATACACCCGCCCGTTCTTGCTCACTCTGACTCCGCTGCCGTCTACGAGAACCTCTGCGGACCCCACCGCGTCGCCCGGCATGTTCGAGCCGGCCAGTATGATGTGGGCCGTGCCGTTCCCGTAGCCCGCCACGCGCACGGAGCCGAGGCACTTGCGCTTCGCCTGCAGCGATGTCGCTGGCAACGGCGCGGCCGCACCTGAGGCACCCGGGGCGCCCTGGGCCCGCGGCCAAGCACCCACGGCCGCGGCGCAACCCGCCAACGCCAGGGCAGAGGTACCCGCACCGCGCAGCAGCCGCGCCGCCGCGCCGCGCGGCAGAGTTGCCGAGCGGCGCTGGAGCACCTCTCCGTGCGCGCGGTCGTGGGCCGCGTCGGAGTCGTCGCCCCAGAGCAGTTCGTCCAGCGACTCGTCGAGCTCCTCGTCGCCACGAACCCCACAAGTGGGCGCGATAGACATCGCGGGGGGCGTGAAGGGGCCAGCCGCTGCACAGCGGCTGGTCCTGTCCTAACTACCGTTTGGCGCTTGGGCCGAGGGCTGACAAGCCGAGGCCTGCAACTCCCAGCGCCTTGACATGCCGTGCGCCCCGCACAGTGGGAGAGAGAGAGGGAGAGAAAAACAGAGGGAGAAAGAGAGAGAGAGAGAGAGAGAGAGGGGCAGCAGCACAAGTGGAACCCCCGCTGCCGCTGCCACTGCTGCTGATCCAACTGCTCACCTCTCTCATCGCCACTGCTGATGCTGCTTCTCGCCACCCTCACTCTCCTTGGGCGCGGCTCTGCGGCCTTCTGTGACGACATCCCTGCCTGCATCCAAAGCATTGGATCAAGAAACTTCCACCGCATCATGCAATGTTCAAAGGGAAGTGCTGGGGCCAGACGCGGCATCGTATGAAACCGTAGGATCTCAAATATCAAATGAGCAACGGGTTCAAACTACCTATGAACACACATCATTCAATGGACCGAACCGGATATGCCTCGTTTGAGAGAAACCCGCAACTCGCACATAATATTGATGTCCATGTGTAGCTCCTTATGGAATGCGATTATGCTCACCCGCCAGCCCTTCGCCTCCCCATCCTCTCCACTGGGGACCCGATCTAGCCAGTTTGGAGGGGGGCAGGTCCTGCTCAACGGCCCCAGCTCTGAAACAGGTGCCAATTTTCCTTACACGCCCATTGCCTGTCAACTCGTGTCAAGGTCCTCCCGGTCTCCTGCCCATGCTGCTGCTGCCCCTCACTCTGTCTTCCGCATCCGTTTGTTGCCCGAAGTCTTGAGGGGCCCCTCTTGCGAGCCGGCACAGCGCCGACATCAGACGACAGCTCAGCATAGCTAAATATCCACATAGCACAGCATATCATACACAAGTCAGCGATTGTGTGCCTCGCCCTCGACACGGTGTCCGAGGACAGTTTTGTTCCCGCCGGGAGCCACCTTGCAGAGAGAGAGAGAGAGAGAGAGATAAAAAAAAAAGACTTGACTGACAGTGCCGTGGCCCACGCTCCGCCTGCAGTCAAAAGAAGTACTCTCACACCAACGACCCCATCTGGCCTTTGAGAACTCAAATGAAAACTCCATGACCGTCCACAAGTGTTCCAGGACGGCCCGAAAAACGACCAAGGAGGCCCTACACAGTCCCAAAGCCTCCCAAGAAGCCTAAAGGAACCCCAGGAGGACCTCCCAAGAGCCTAAGGAGGACTTCCAAAGGGGCGCAGACGGACAACCAAAACATGATTATCCGTTGTTATCCTAAACGTTTGACGCGCTCGCCGTTTCGAGATGCAGGGTGTCAGTTAAAGGACCCAAGAAGCCCCCAGCGTCCCCCCAAGACGGCCCCCAAAGCTGCCAAGAGGGTCCCAAAGCAGCCCGGCGGCGCCCCTGGATGGCTCAACAAAACTTCCGAACTGCCCAAAAGAGCTCCGAGAGCGCCCCAGAAGGAGCTCATACTCCGACTCTGGATCCGCCATGCTTTGGTTGACTTTCCGACGTGAAATTGTGCCGGACACGCACCATCAATGATGCGAAAACTAGGGCAGACATTTCCGCCTCAGAAAATTCGGGCGGTGATCTCCGCAAAGGCTGCAAAGGCATAGCGGAAATAGCGGCGGCAAAGCAAGGCGGAAATCAGCATCAAAAGAGCTTGAACAGTAGGGCGGGGATTTCCGCCCTACTTGCGACATCGAATAAAGTACGGCAGATCGGGAATCAGGGGAACTATTTTGCACGAACTGCACCGAGACGGCTCAAGATACGTCCAAGAAGGCCTCACGCAGTCTGAAGGACCCCCAAGACGCCCAACACAACCCCAAGGGGCAGCTCTGGGGTTACTACGCAGGTGGTGGGGATTCTTTGGAATCGCCGCACAAAGATCAGTGGCCAATCTTGTGATGCACACGTACTCCGATCTGCCCACCACATACCTCCAACCGCCATGCCCCCTCAACGAACTGGAGATCGTCAGACTGAGCGTTCCCTTCTGAGCGACCGCGACTCCTCCTCGTCCTCCTCCTCCTCCTCTTCCTCGTGCTTCGACCTGCTTAGTCTGGCACTGTGGTTTCGCAGATGCGCTGTTTCTTCTCTCCTGGTTTTCTGGACGGGCGCTTACCGAAACGAGTCGAATCCGATACCTCCGAGTAGCTCAGGAGGATTTCCAAGAGAGCACTGACGGGTAAAAAATTCGCCAGCCCAACGGGCCAAAGGCGTGCTAAGATCTTCGGTGACTGGTTAACAATATTCTGGTTCGCGCGCGCGGGGCCGCCCCTGGGGGTCCCCGGACGAAAAATACCCCGGCAAGGTCCCGGCAAATTCCGGCGAGGTCCCGGCAAATCCCGGCAAGGTCCCGGCAAGTCCCGGCAAGGTCCCGGCAAGGTCCTGGGCAGGTCCCGGGCAAGTCCTGGCCACGTCCCAGCATGCTCCCAAGAGCGCTTCAAGTGGCCTCCAAGGGAGCTCAACATGGCCCAAGAGCGATCCAAGACGCCAAACATGGCCTCCAGACAGCCCAAAGCGCCTGCAATAAGCCCCCATAGGCCTCCAACAGACCTCCCAAGCCCAGGGCCCTCCAAGAGAGGCCCTCGCCTTGGGGGCTTACCAGCGCTCCAAGACGGCCCAAGAGGCCTCCAAGAGCGCCCAAAATGGCCTCAGAGGGCCCCAAGACAGCCCCAGAGGCCTCCAAGATACTCCCAAGACGGCTCCAAGAGCGGGCCCAGACGGGGGACCCGAACGGACATTTCGAGCTCTTCGCGCAGAGAGGTCCCATGGAGCCCCCAAAACGCCCCCAAGAGGCCCCTGAGAGGCTCCAAGAGGCCCCCAAGATGCCCCTGAGAGGCCCCAAGAGACCCACACGAGGCCCTCAAGAGCCCCCAAGAGGCGCACTGCCGACGACCACTCGGCCAGTCGACCGCGGTGCGCAGTATGGGCCGGCGGAATGAGCGAAGCGATTAAATGACGGTCTTCCACTGGTTTGCCAACATTTGAGACGCGCTCGCCCTTTCAATCTTCCAACGTCTCTAACACAAACCAATCAACCCCTCAGGTCGCCCAGAGACGACCCCAAAGGCCACCAAGAGGGCCCCAACAGGGCACCGAGATCGCCCAGAAGACCTCTCAGAATGCCCGAGGGACCCCGCGAACGCCCTGCGAGGAGCGTAGACGGTCCACAAGTGTCCTGGGGCGGCCCAACATACGTCCAAGAGGACCCTACATACTCCCAGATGCTCCCGCGACGCCCGAAAGAGCCCCGGGAGGAACCTCCAACAGTCTCAGTAGGACTTCCAAGAGGGCGCCAACGGGCAAACAAAACATCCAACTGTGTTCCCACATATTGGACGCACTCGCCCCTTCGATGTTCAGTTTGTTTGAGACAGCCCAAGAAACCTGTCAAGTCGCCCGATGACGATCCAACAGGGCCCCATAACGGCCCGACAAAGCCCCGAAACTGCGGAAAAAAAACCCGAAACGCCCCAGGAAGAGTCCAGGAGGAGGAACTCGAAGGACCCCCCGGAGATCACCCCGCAAGATGACCCCGAACATCCCTGACGCGCCCCTGAAGTAGCCCAGAGCCCCCCAATCGGCTCCCAAGAAGCCCCCAGAGGGCCCCAATAATCACCCAAAGGAACCCAAAGCAGACCTGAGCAGACGACCTCGACATTCTCGTCACCATCCCCCCTCATCAATCGGCCTGTTTCCCCTCGTCGCTATCTCATGCTCCTGCTCGTCCTCCTTTTCCCCGCCATCATCTCCTTCCCCCTTCTTTCTATTGTCCTCGTCCTCCCTGCATCATAATTGCCCTTCCTCCTTTTTCGTTCTGTCCTTCAGTAGTTAGCTCGTCGGCGCGACTAATTCGCATGAGAACGCATCTATTTGCCCTTTGGTATTGCTGGACCGGCCTTGGATGTGGTTCACGCGGTCGCAGAAGCCGAAGACACTTTCACGCCGCAATCAATTTCCGACGCTTCCCGCTGCCCTGGTCACTAGTTGGTTCCGCGGGGTGCTTCGTTCTACGCATGGCTGGGCCCTTCTTGGTTTTCGCGCGCGCTGAGCACATCGCTGGCGCGCGGCGGTCTACTTGATTTCCTTTCTGGCTCTCCGACATACGCTTCGCGCCCGTGAACGTCGGAGTTGATCCGACCGCCTCCAAAGCACACGTTGCGCACTCTAGCATTTTCGGTGGCTCCGCGGCTTTCTTGTCCTTGCGCGCGCAGCGCGCTACAGGCGGTCCTCGGGCGACAGAATTGTCACGCTGGTTTTCCTCAAATTGTCTGGAGTACGCGATGGGCGGTTCGGTGCCGTTCGCATGTGTCGGGCATGCTGCACACTTGCATGTTCGGGCCTGGTTTTGCGCTTCATGGCGCGCGCGGAAGCACGCGGGGGCGCCCCGCTGACTGGAACTTAGTGCGTCGCATCCGCCAAGGTCCCCTGTGGGCCCGTCCGCCCGTTTCGGGCACCTTGCCCTCGCGAGTCGCTGCGCCTTCCGCGCCGTGCTCATTGCGTTGGCCTTCTGACCCGCTCGCTGTCCATCGCTCCGCCCGTTCCTTTTTTTCGAAACGCACTTCCTGCATAGTTTTGCTCCAGCGCTTTTTTTCGTGCGCAAGTTCGCAGCGACGTCTGCCTCTGACTTCAGCAAACGTTGAGCAGCCGGCGGGGAAGTGCTGCGGCACCTGCTTTGAAATTTCACCGAGCAGCGCTGCGGCGCTAGTCCACCTTTCCCAACTGCGGGGCGGGCTTCTGCCTGGCAAGGTGATGCATCGCACCGTGCCAGCCACCGTGCCCCGAGTGGGAGACGCATGACTAGCGCCGCATCGTGCACGCGCGCCACTCGTCCTCCGCGCCCGCTGCGCGGCCAGAACAAAAAAACCCACCATGGCCCCCAAATCCCGTGCAACGGCCCAAACTGGACTCAAGACAACACGAGACGGGCAAATCAATCCAATATGCGGCCCCAAGACGCCCCCTGGATGCCCAAAACTGCCTCGAGACGGACCACGAATGCCTCAAAACACAAGAGGCCCTCGAGACGATCCCCATTGGTCCCCAATACTGCC